GATCTGCGTGCTTTGTACCTCGAACGTTAAGGGCAGATTTCTTGCGAAGAATTCACAGAACACATCTCGCCAAGGACGCGATGTTCCGAAGAGCTCGAGACACAATATTCTGGCCAGGACTGAAACAAGACTTGGAAGAAGTAGTGAGTAATTGCACGGCGTGCCAGACGTATTCGATAAAGCAACAACCGGAACCCATGATTATGGGCGAACTTCCCGCGCATCCGTGGGACATAGTTCACCAAGATCTGATGGAATGGAGCGGTCAGCAGTATCTGGCCACGTGCGATGGGTACAGCAACTACTTTGATCTCTTCAAGCTGGGGACATCGGCGACGACAAGGCAAGTCATCAGTGTGACGAAACGGTTATTCGCTGCATTTGGTCGACCACGTCAATTCAGAACCGATAGTGATCCTCGCTATTTATCGGGAGAGTTCAGGGAGTTCATGAGCCAGTTTCGAATTCAGCATAATGTCAGCGCTGCACATCACCATCAGGCGAACGGACGAGCAGAAGCCGCGGTCAAGGTGGCAAAAAGACTGGTCAAGAAATCTGAGCTGGCTAGAGAAGACCTCGAATTGGCTCTATTGGAATGGCGCAACACGCCTCAAGAGGACGGATACTCGCCTGCGGAAAAATTCTTCTGCAGAAAGACAAGGAGCCTCTTACCGGTTCGTGAATCGGATCTAAGGCAAAAGCTTCCAAGGAACGTTCAGAATTCAATCAGACAATCGAGAATCAGACAGAAACGGAGCTTCGACAGAGGTGCAAAGGTTTTGCACCCTCTGGCAGAAGGCGACGGTGTCCTAGTGCAACCCATTGGTTACGGGAAGCGATGGGAAAGAGGATCGATTGTACAAAGATTGAACAAACGAACGTACGCAATCGACATGGAGAACGGAGGTCTATTCATCCGAAATCGTGTTTTCCTGAGACCGAATGGTCAACGGTCAGGCGCACGAAAGGAAACAGCCGAAAACAACGTATTAGAAATCATCACGCAACAAGAGGAGGATGAGCCGGAGACGATCAGAGTCCCCATCAGGATCTCGAAAAATACACAGCCGTTATCAGACGAAAGAGAGCCGGAACTCCAATCGACAAGAGCCCCTAAGATACTCGAGATCCCACGCAAGCGAAAACTTGAGGTGCAATCAACTGAAGCCAAGAGAAAGGATGAAAGAGCTACTCCGAAAATCAACCGAACTACTAGAAGCGGAAGAGAAATCAAAGCCCCCGATAGACTTCTAGATAGCATCATGGAGATCAGCACGATGCAGTTGGAGTAATTGTGTGTCCACTGTATACAATCTCAGTCAAAGAATATAACGAAATAATTTAAATCAATTTGTGTAAAAGAAGAGAGATGTTCATAGATCTTTAAATATACCGCCATCGTGGAGAACCCACGCAGAGCCGCTTCTCGTCTCTGTGTTTCGAGGAGATCAATAAATGACAGGCAGTTCCGTTAAGACGGTCTCAGAGTGTGTTCCGTTTGGTAATTCATCCTTCAGTCAGAACATCCAAAACAGGCGATGAGCTCGACGAATAGCGCTCGAGGATCTCAAGTTTTCCCTTCGAAATGCCCATCCAAATGGAAGGAGAAATCAATCGAGCGCTCTCAGCGAAATGCCGTCAGAGTTCGAGTTGCTTGGGGAGTTCTCCACGGTCTTGTGTCGTGAAATGAATCGCTCTGTAAAGGATCTCCGCGTCCACACTGCAGCTGAACAGCGACGGAGACGTTACTTCTCTTACTATCGATCAGGACGCCGAGCGGGGGGAATGTCCCGGAATAATAAGAGCGACCATGGCGACGACGAGCTCCGATGCCTCGGATATCTCGGAGGTCCGGGCCTCCTTTTCTCGCATAAGCGCCCTGCGGATTGGGAAGCCAGCCTTCTGGGGCGCATCCGATCCTGGCTTCCTTCGGAGAGGTCTGCACCCGGGAGGGGAGCTCCGGCGGCTCGCTTCCGAGCGGACGTCTCATTCTGGAATGAGCGGCCCTCGTTTGTTTCCGCTCCTTCCCCATGCACCTAATTGACAGCGATAATTTCGCCGTCAACTGAAAATCACCGGTACCGATCGATTCCCGTCGGGTGTGCAGGAGGCTCTACTCACCTCAAGCCGCAGAGCGAGTTCTCGGAGCCACCGAGATTCGCGAACTCCCATCCGGAATCACGCGATTCGCCTACTTGCATCGGGAAGCATCTATTGGAGAAAAGCCCTTCCTTTCGATCCTAGATGCGCCGCGCACCGCCGAGGACCAGACTCTGCGACCGCGCTTATTAACCGAGCCCTATGGGGGACAGCGGATAGCCGCAGTCAACAACCGCGCTCTCCATGGAATATCTGTTTTTTCGCAACAGCTACCAAGACTTGGCTCGTCGCAAGCGAAGTTGTCACCTTGAGGAGCCCCCCTACCCCTCACACCGTTTATACACTAACTTCACTAACGAAATCCAAGCGAAATCCAATCCGTATTCGCGCGATATGACCTTAGTGTAGCGTGCATCTGCAAGATCCCGGCACTAGGGGTACCCGTTTTTTCAAATCTGTAAGGACCTGGATGCGTCTGACTTTTACATTATTGGGTATAATTCTCCTCGCTCCACAGAAGCTCCGTTCTGCGTCTTCCACCAAGGATGCATGGAGCACAGAAATGGGTCGAATCTGATAGGATGAGAGATGTTCCAAAACAGGCCGATTGCCGACTCGCGGAGCCCCATAGTCCTGTGTAAGCCAAGTCGAAAAGCTTTCGACTGGGCAATGCGAACGATATAGAGGCAGTGCTAAGGATAGAGTCCATGTCTCTTCCATCGTTGAGCGTGAGTCCATAAAGCTAGAGAACCCCGACGCAGAGAAAATCACTGACCTCATATGTATGCGCGATTTCTCTCAGATCACAGCTGTATGGCCGGCAAAATATGCGACGACGCTGCCGCTGCGGAATCGGTGGTAACGTCGACGTGGTTCCAGAGAGTCTGGTTCAGACGCATTGGGTATGCCAATAAGTCGACCCACTTCCGTCCATTAAAAGGACATCAGCGCGTTTCCCGAAGAAATTATTCGTCCGACTCACGGCACCACGCCGATCCCTCAGATTCCTTCTGGCTATCAATCTCCATCCTTCGGACGCAAGGCGAAGCATGCTGCCCCGACATGTGCTGGGAATAGAAGGGAAAGCGCCGCATTTCAGGCCTCGCTCCGGAAATCCGCCTTTGGTGAGACTCGATGAAACAGAAAAGCCAGCACCACTAGGTCCAACAGTCGGAGATCGGCCTCCGGCATATTTCAAATTCCGAGAGTTGATGAAGTCGCCCGGGACGTAGATTATTATCGAATATATTGCGAACTTCCGACTAAAGCCGGCCGTGGCGCTTCGCACTTGTCTGTCCCACGAAGCTCGTTTCAGGGAGTTGTGGATCTCGAGAGGGGCAAAGATTCTGCCGTTTCCCATTCAAAGTTCGAGTCCGCGATGTTCTTGCTTCGCGAAGCCTTCTTCGAACAGGTCGAGCATCTAGAGCCATCGCGAGCTGAGATACAACAGCGATTGTTCACGATTTCACGCCTCATATCGGCACTTCAGGGCACGCTCAAAGTAGGTTCAAAGTCAACATATTCTGCATCGAGACCGCGGTGTTCCCGGTCGCTACAGAGGAACATCGCGAACTGGCTCGAGAGCCGCTACGACCAAAAGTTCCGCCACTGGAGAGGTTTCCGGGGTGCAGCTGGCTCCCTGTGACCTCGCATTGATAATGGGGATCGTCGACGAGATTCTGGCGCTCATATGTATCGATGGAAACTGCCAGATGAACTCAGGGAGTCGGCACGATTCCGGCAGCGGAGAGCTCGTTCGGAAATAAGTAGGTACAGATACATAGTTTCGAGGGTCGGATATCCAGAAGACAAGATAGCAAGATGGCTGATGAAGCTCGAAAAGTCGTCCAGCTTCGGGAAAACAGCGGCGATTCTGGATCCCTGGAGACGATTCCGACCGGGTATACAATATCAAGTGAGCTGCCTGACTTCGGTCTTTTGGTAGTCTCGGGTACACGCCTTGCTTTGAGATCAGAACAGAGCCCCGAGGAAATTCGGTTTAATCTCTCTGCAGTCGTTCCCGTGACGGGTTCGAAGAAATCGAGCACAAATGGTGTTTAGCCTAATTTCGCTCGGAAGATGACACGAAATGGTGACAATGCGTAGCGATCACTGCTAGGAGGTTGACATGAAGAAAGGCTGGTGAGAAGGCGCTGAAGAACACGGTGAGAGCCGGAGGAGGCGTTATGAGGAGGCGGAACAGGCATCCCGGGTAGTGGAGAGGCCACATTCATTGAATTATTATAGGGGGAGATAGCCCGCAACATTTCAGTTTCGCGAGCAGTTTCCGCCATTGCAGGGCACGGGCGAAACCTAGCTCTCATCGTGGGCGCGCCTGCATCGAGCTTTTTCCAACGGCTGCAGCCACTGATTATTTGACGCCGACGCGCACCTCTTCAATCTCTCGTTCTCAAGCCTGCAAGATAATCGCGGAATACCTGCCTCCACCAACATCATGCTGACTGTCCGATCGGACACCGAATTCCTCTCTCGGAATCCGACGGTCCGAATGCCGAGACAGGCACTTCAGACACGGAGGCAACGTTTCACGCGATTAAGCTCGAAAGACGAAAAATGAAGCAAGCCCAGACATCTACCATGGCACAACGCCTGAACGTCCCTGCTCCAATAACGACAATCTCTTGCTGCTGGAGAATGACGACATCGGGCGCCGGATTCTTGACGGATCCGCCGCGTTGCGAAGACGGAAACTGGGATGATCGGCCTGTGAAAAACGTCGGAGCATGCCAGAAGGGCGGAGAACGGTCACAATGTCGCGTCCTCGCTAATCTTACCCTCACGAAGGAAACTCTTAATGATCTTGACGGGCCGCTGCGATTATCGATTGGGTGGCTTCGGGGCCGCTTGTGTGTCCGGAAAAGCGTTCTCCTCCTCGACCCTTTGTGGTTAAAACCCTCGTCAACGAAGGGCGCTCCCATCAACGTCGACGGAAAGAATGCCGACGTCTCGACCCGCGAGAACAACGAGCTGGAGCCGAATTCCTGTCTCCCGTCGACTCTGTCCCAAACACATGGGATACTTCCGCGTGAATTAATTCATCTCCGTACGCTCCGCTGATTTCAGCTGCGGATTTGAGGCTCCATATGCGATAGACGCGCGCAGACCATGCGAGCGAGATCCAGTGCACGGAATCGAGAGTCTGAGCTCAAGCGACCCTCAGTAGGAAATAATCATTTGCATACAGGTGGGATGTACGAGGAGAAGGATGATTACCGCAGAAAACTTCCGCGGTTTCCGGTCCGCCTCCAGCATATCCATCAGCGATTTGCCGCGGATTTCCGCAGGAAGCCTCTTGTTGCCGCTGGCTCCGGAGTCCATAGCTCTATCCCCGAATTCGCAGAATTTGATAAGCTCTATGAAGAGGCTTGAAGAGTGTTTTTTTACGACGCAAAGTTGGCTCAAGTCTACGAATAACTGAGATTGGACGAGACTGACCGGAGCTCGATAAGGGAGCCAGGATTTCCCGACCAAGCGTTCCGTTCGGCGAAGTTCCGTTGCTATTCGCGCTTTGACTCAATTCCTCGATGTTCGACTCTACGCTTTATCCGAAGAGAAGACGGTCGAATCCCATAATGGGAGAGAGCGAAGGGAGATATCCCCTCGCACGGAGTTCAAGCTGAACTTTTCTTATCTGTGCCTGATGGGCAAGCCAATTCCTCTGGATCCTGCGCGCAGCTCGTGAAGCTTATCGTCGTCGTGGAAACGATTCCCTTGTGGCAACCTTCTTCTTCCTTTCAGTGGAACTGAAGAGGGAACAGATGAAGCCTGGAAGGGCAGAAAAGCCCACAAAGCAAAATAGACTCCTGTTGAAAGTGACTTCTTGCGGGTCTTCAACATGCAGATGAAGTTTGGAGGAGGAACTCAGCAGCTACGACCTTTTAGTCTCAGACCGCGAAGCGACAGGCTTCGGTGTGTCACGACGGTGTTTTCGCAACGGTGCTCAGACGACCAGCTCCGCTGGGGAATGAGAGCCCGAGGGTTGTGACATCCGAAGGGTCTTCATCGGAGTGAAGTTCTTTTCCCGAAAATTATTGCTCCGCCTGCTCCAATCGCTGTTCTGGAGCCGAGGCAGACTTCTGCAAACCTGTCATCCAGTCGCTCGTCCCGTCCGACCTCGATGGGGAGAATGCGAATACAATTAAATACTTCCTCCGAACGATTCTTAAAGTTC